TGGTCGTTATAGGACGTAAACTGAGCACGCACTGTACATCGCGCGCTTCCGTTTCCGGCGATATTTTCCGAGCTGCTGTCACTGGGCGTTGTGCTTAGTTTGCGCTTTGTTGTTTTCTCTGCCTCTATAGGATTTGGCAACAACATTGTGGCAGGTAAGCTGTTTTTGATTAGCCCACTAAGGTCGAGCCGGTAACCAAAGGGACGCATTAACAATGTCAAAAACAAAAACCAAATGTATCCCTTGCTTTGGCCGTAAACCAAACAGTATCACAAAGCAGTCATTTAACAGTTGATAAGCCACGCCACATGGCTGTCACAGACAATAGGCAGCAGGCAAATGGTTGAGGTCGGAGTCGGTTTGGCGGTTGCACCCATTTGCAGGGTCAAGGCGCCGTCGCAGTTGGGCGAATCTACACCAGCCATTATGATTTTCAGCATTTGCACAGCGAAAGCAATAAACATTAAAATAATATTTATGGAAATTCTGCTCGGCCCCATGAATGTGATAAAAACGCTGCCAAAAACTAAATACGGTCAAATAATAGGTCAGGCAACAAAAACTTTGCAGACGACGCCAGCGACGCAGTTATGGAAATTTCCAACAATTTTCGAAAATATAATCTTGCCATTTAATACCACAAATTTGTTCTTTATGTCATGCGCGATTGTTTATGTTTGTCAATCATTTGAATATTCTTCTAATTTTTTTCGGGCCTGCCTTAAACTTTTCTCAATGCGACAAGTTTTTTTTGTACAGACATGTGTATTTGCTGTTTCTGGGCTCGCTTCAGAGCAGCTCAACAACTGGCCAAGCAGAAAGGTCACTGCGTCTAGCGCAGCGCCAGCGATTGACATTGATAAAGCACTTGGCAATGGAGCAACAATGTCCAGACAAGCGAGGTTGAACGGAAATATCCAAAGAAACAACAATATCACCAACTGTTAAAACATAATACTTTCAGAAGTTTTCCACCCTATGGATAACTAAATAAGATTGATAAATGTTAAGGATGAAAATAAAATATAAACAATGCTGGAGCTCTCCATAGTTTCTAAGCTATTGCCGTTGTGCTTTCACAAATTGAGTTCTTGTCAGTTTTTCACCTGTTTCGATTCATCAATTTTTTATATATTACATGAATATATATGTATTAAACTACATAGAGGTACACTGTGAAATAACATCTACAAATTCTCAACTCCCCTTCAAAAAGATAATTAGATAAGATAATAGTTGACCTTTATCCTTTTAAAAGCATTTTTTCGGGTCTATTATCCTTTTCTTTTGAATATTTCCCAGTGTTTAGATATCAAAACAAACATGCATCCATCTTTCTTACCCCACATATTGCTTTGACACTTTTCTGGGACATGGCTCACGTTTTTATTGCACTGCGATTTCTGTTGCCACTGCAGCGCCCCCTCTTGACTTTTCCAAATTCAGGTTTGACAAAGGCACGCGCCGGATTTTTCATATTTCGTTACTTTTTTGCATGTTTTGTACTGCTCAGGAATGTGAAATGAAAAAATAAATATTAGATTTGCTTGGCTGCCTGACAAACTGTCTGCAGCTGAGCTCGCTTTGTGGATGCAACTGCCGGCATCTACATTTGGGCTTTAGTCAATTTTCTTGTTCACTTTGCAGACAAGGACCAAGTAAATAGCTGACAACTGGCAACTGGCAGCTGCCATCAGGGGCAGATGCAACTGTCGCGCTTTCAGTATTGACAGCTTGGCGGCCGCGTCTGCCCCGGGGGACAATTATTTCAGTTTATCACGCGTCGCACGCGCTCAAGTTGCGACCCGGGCCAGGTCCGGGTTCCTATCCGTAAATCTTGCCGGCAGCAAAAGCCACTGAATGTGTATTAAGTTTTCGGTCTGCGGTCAGTTGCCAATAAATTCGATGCCCGTGGGTGGCCATTGCTCCGTGTCCTGCTGTTCCGGCTTCAGACATTGTTTCTGCTGTGTGCTGTGTAATTGCGTGAAATAACAGTTTCCATTGGTGCTAGGTTTCTCTTGGCCCCGTCTGCCAAATCAAGTGGAAATGCCAAGGTGATTACTTTTAACTTCTCACACTGCTCTGCAGCTTAAGTTTCCCCCTGCGCAAAGCTTAAATCGTTGGCCATAAAAAATTAAAATTTCAATTAAATTAGTAACACACATCTGGCCATGATTTTGCCACTATAAATAACATACACTATCCACAATTCGCACGTCATCCAGCTGACTGTCATTGCTTCTCCTTGTTAGCCCCCCAAAAAAGTGCCAAGCAATACAAGTTGTTGTTTTAGCTAACCATAAAAAGCACACAGAAGATATGCCCGACAGGCGGCCAACCAGGCGCCACTCGACCCACCCAGGCATTCGAGATATAATAAAAATATATTTACCAAAAAAATATGCTTTTTTTCTTGCAGAAAAATTTCAAGTTATAGCAACAAAAACAACTAAAAATACACGATACACCAGTACGCCGTCGGGATGATACCCTGAGCAGAGTTCCTTACTATTTTTTGTAGCTAAATTTAAACCTGCTCTTTGTTAGACTACTTTAAGAAATGAAACAAAGTGGAGCTGAGGGCGGGCAGATATCTACAAACTTAAGACACAGCACATTGGAAAGGGGTAAAAAATAATGATTCAGTTGAAGTGTATTAATCCCGTGACAGGACATCAGTACCGATAAATCTCAAAATTTTCAAATATGCTCTATATACCCCAAGCTAAGAAAATGAATATTTTCGACGACAGCTCGCCCTATTTCCCAGCAATTTATAATTCTCTATACTCAGAGAAATTAAAGGAAACTAAAGGCAATTATGTTGGAACTCCGACTTCTAGAAAATTAAAAAATAACTTCCTTTTGATACTTAGAAATTGAGATTTGCTCTTTGTTAGTTGCGCACATTTCGACGGCATTTTTAAGCTATTCAAAAATGCAGTTCTAAGAATGCTGAGGGGCTGTGGAAAGAAGAGGCACAGACGTTGCATAAACTACACAGATTGCGGCAAGCGTGGTCGTGTGTGTTTGTGTGTGTGCTTTACGTCGAAAAGGAAGTTGGAATTTTTGCTATGACAGCTCGGAGGGAATACAGGGTATTTTCCAAAAGCTTTGCTTTTTTGCTGTTCAATTCCTTGCAGAGTTATATTAACTTTTGACATTTACATATCCCTTTTGAGTGCTTGCGCTTTAATATGGCTTTTAACGCGTCGCGTGCCGAAGACAGAAACAGACAGGCGAAATCAAAAGAAAAAGCGAACCGGAGCGAAGCGAAAAAAAACCAAAAGTTAATCATAAAATGCGACAAGAGCAGCTTAAATTGAATTTAAGCATATGTTAGGCTTACTTATGCTGATGCAAACAAATTGCCGATTTTACCAGCGCTCAGCACAAAAGGTGGCAACATGTTGGCTTTGACTGAGGTTACAAATGGTTTAGAGATTGAGGAAGTAAAAGCAGAGCAAGAAGCGCCAGCAAAAGTTCGAGCACATTAAGAGTTAAGTATAAATAATCTGTCGAGTTTGTTTTTAGCATCAATTTAAAGTTTGAAATTATTATTATTATTGTTATATAATATTAAGCTTAAAGGTAAATTTAATTTTCAAACTCAAAGGTCGTAAAGTTAGGGAAGTTGCAAACTTTTACAACTAATTTACCAAGGGATTCATCAATATGTCAATAATTCAGAAAGAACTTTAAGACTTCGTCAAACAAAATAGAATACCAAGACGAAGGGCAGCACAATAACAACTGTAACGTTAGATGCCATCTTCTAACAACGTCAAAGTACACAATAAACATTAAATTAATTTCCTTGTCTGACGCACACAACAAAGTCAATTTCAATTTTGTCTTTGTTGTTGCCGGTGCTAGTTGTGCATTTCCGACAACAAAATCAGGAAAGAACATTTATCTGAAGATTAAATGCTCTTGCCAACATATGACAGATGCACAACTTATCTAGATTTAGCAATAGCTTAATATGTTTCTAAAAAAGAATTAAGTCTGGAGCAGACGAATGTGTCACAACAGATTTTTTCTATGGCAGTTTTATGATGTTACATAATGCCTGCCAAATTAATAGTACCCACTGTGAGAGTATAATTAAGGAAGCCCTCCAGAAAAAATGTGGAAATTAAGTTGAGGTCAGAATCATTTGACTGCGCAATACTCTACTCTGCTGTGTGTTTTTTTTTTTTACAGCGACTTTTAAGCGGGCACTTAAGAACTGAGTTATGTATGGGATATATTGATTTTTTTCTATTTACGTAAGCGCGGATGGTACATTGGGCTTTAAGGCAGACAATCAGTAATCCAATCAATCAAAATCTGGTGGCTCCAGCTCTTAAACTGCACGAGTTATACATTTCCGGACCCTGGTGGACATTGTAAAATAATCAAAACGCGCGTGTCCAAGAGCATTGTCTAAGTATAAAGTATTTAACTTCAATAGCAATAAATGCCTGTTTAAGTTGCAAGTAAATGTAGTCGATAATGCCCAACTTAAAGTTACCCTACATTGCGCTTCATATATCATATACCCATTAGCTATTGGCCCTTGGTCCAAGCTATCTAAATTGCTTTCATTTGAACATACAGAAGAACATTGCCAAGCAACCAATATGTTATTGTTTAGTTTGCGAACAGGGTATAATTATTCTATAGACGCGCACATTCACTGCATCGTTTGTTGCAATATTCGTTTCAAATAGAAAAGCGGATTGCACATGGCAATTACTTTAAAAATAGGCATGTAGAAGCATGCAGGCAGCACTTGCCACTTTCACTGGCCGCGCAACAATGTTGCATCAACACACACATACGCAGCTGTGTGATTGGACTACGCCAATGGTTTTTATGAATGAAATGCAAACAGCTGGGCTAAACAGTCGCCGAGCCTGGCAACATGGCGCATGCGCTATACAATTTGAACATGAATTGGCGGCAGCCGGAAAATCTAGCGGAATTCGGCTGGCGGCGCAGTTGGCTGTCAGCGTTCAACGTGTTCGTGCGCAACGTGGACCTGCCCCAGGGGTGCCTCTCGCATACATAGGTACATCTCCCGGTGACGATTTCTGTTTAAAAATATCACTTGCCAGCGGAGAGCATGATGACAACATAGAGCCAATTAGAGTGAGAGAGAAAAAGTGTGCGTAAAACAGAAAACGAGCGACAGAGAGAGAAAAAGTGATGATATTTTTGTTTATATGCACGGCGCTTATAAAAAAGAGAAATAAATATTAAAGAAAAAAAAACATAAAAAATACTCAATATAATTACCAAATTGTTTACAACGGTAGCTTAAAAAGTCTTCAAGGTGCCGCCGTTAAATTCAAAATGTGAAAAGTGCACTAAATACACATAACATTTGCAGCATCTAAAGATTCAATTGGATTCGGATTAACAGCTGGTAACGCAATATACAAGATCGAAGTAAATTAAAAACTTATACTCATAAAATGAAAAATAACAAAACAACAACATCAAGTGGAAAAGAATAAACCAGCGAGCAGCACATAAATTTATAAATAAATAAAAAAAATATATATACACATACATTTGTAGACTATTTGTGTGTGTGTTGCCGACTAAATATTAAAGAGAAGCAATCAAAGAGCAAAAATAAAAACAGCAAAAATATTTAAAAGGTGAAAACATATCAAGAAATTAGCCCTGTCAACCAAACGTAACAAAATTAAAGAATGAGTACCCAAAGATGTGTATACACGTGTCTGTTTGTGTCGCTTGTAATATCCCCCCATGTATGGTAATTACCTACAAATGATGGCATCCCTTGGCATTGATGCTTGACATTTTTTTATAAAATATGCAAATGAGTCAACGCGCTGCCGCCAGGGAATTTGAATCAGTGCTTCAGTTGAAAAAAAAATGCAGGGACACGTGAACACGGAATACAAACAACAACTGATTCAGATAAACGGAGAGACATTTTTCGCATTGTAAATTAAATTCCCAAGGTAAATGCATAAATCTTAATATGCCTATTAAAATAAGTAAGAATATTGCAGTCGGCTGGCACCGACTACGCCATACTCGTTCACAGAGGCTGCTTGACCAATTTGTTTAAAATACAAACGCATTTATGTTTTAATTATATTGTTAAATATTTTCGGAGGAGCTTATCTTTAGTCGTCATTCAAAATTGTTCACTCTAACTTTAAGTCTGTCGAAGATATAGATTTTTGCTATTTGGCTACCAATATTTTCAGATTTATCTTTAAAGAAGCTTTTCAGCAATCGTTAGTCAAAACTTGGTCACTCTAGCTCTACAACTGTGGAAGATGTAGACTTTCACACCTTGCCACGCCCCAGTGGGCGTAGGCAAATAATCTTAAGACGGAATCTGACGCTGGTATACATGAGTATATACTTAAGTTTCAAGTCTCTAACTTCAATAGCGCCAAAAAAAAAAAAATATATTGGGTTCATGCAGACAGACGCACTTACGAACGGACAGACAAAAAGGCGGAGGGACAAAGGGACAAACGGTCCCAACAAAGGGTGGGACGGGTAGATGAACTGACGGGCGTAGGGACCCGTCAAGGGACGGACGAGCGTACGGACATTGCATAAAATCAATTGACTCTTTTCACGTTGAGAGCGATGATAATAACGCGCACACGTTTTTATTTATTTATTTTATTTAATTTAAGTCTAGGAAGCCTTACCTGAGCACCATTTAAAATGCAGCTTTAATGGGCAGCATTATTTAAACTGCTCTTCTTCTTGCGAGCATTTGCATGAATTCTTATAAAAACACACACGCACATACACAATATTACATTAGCTGATAATTCAAGCTTTAATTGGCAGTTCTATTTATACGGCCGGCTCGTCTCCTTTAATTATGACTCCGTTTGTCATTTTTCCATCGCACGCACGAACACAAGCGATAACACAACAAAAAAGACAAAAAAAAAAACACACACACGAAAACACGCGCTTTAGCACTTCAGCCTTTACCGAGCGGCCACGAAGCCTCAACTAAAGTCCAGCTTTATTGGACAGCTCTATTTATACGACCGGCTCGTCTCCTTTAATTATGACTCCGTTAGTCATTTTTCCATCGCACACACGAGCACAAGCGATCACACAAAAAAATAAAAATAAAAACACACACACATACAAACACACGCGCTTTAACACTTCAGCCTTCACCTTTATTTATACGACCGGCTCATCTCCTTTAATTTTGACTCCGTTTTGTCATTTTTCTATCGCGCGCACGAACACATGCGATCACATAAAACAAAAAAAAACGCACACACACATACAAACACACGCGCTTTAACACTTCAGCCTTCACCGAGCGGCCACGCAGCTTCAACTAAAGTCCAGCCTTAATGGGCAGCTCTATTTATAAGACCGGCTCGTCTCCTTTAAATATGACTCCGTTTGTCATTTTTCTATCGCACACACGAACACAAGCGATCACACAAAAAAAAACACGCACTAACACACGCGCTTTAACACTTCAGCCTTCACCGAGCGGCCACGCAGCTTCAAATAAAGTCCAGCCTTAATGGGCAGCTCTATTTATACGACCGGCTCGTCTCCTTTAATTATGGCTCCGTTTGTCTTTTTTCTATCGCACACACGAGCACAAGCGATCACACAAAAAAAAAAGACAAAAAAAAAACACACACGAACCGAAACGCGGCGCGGCTTTAACTGAAACAGAACTCCAATTGGCAGCTATATATATACAGCAGGCTCTTCTTCTTTCCATCGTGCAGACTCTTTGCAATGCACTTCTTGCAAAATCATGCGCTCCAGATCTGCTCTTCTTCTTTCAATCGTTGCAAAATTCGTTCTTGCTGGCTCGCTTGCTCCCATTGCGCTCAAGCCCTTGAGTGACTCTTTGAGTTAAAGATCAATTTCGTGTGTGAGTAGATTTTACAATAGATTATCAAATTTGTAATTGCCACGAAAGCCGTCAAATTCGGCTTATCAGAATTTGTGCCGAAATTTTGTTTGCCATTTAATTGACAGCCATCATTTTTTCTTCAAATAATACAAAACCTATTGACTAGAAAGAGACATAGAGAGTAATTCTTTATCTATATAAACAGCTGTTTTCCTCTGTCAGTGTTTCTGTCTGGCTGTTTCTATGCAAATAAAACTATGCACAGGTTCTTATTGTTTCCGCAATCAGCCGGATCGGACCACTATATCTAAAGCTGCCACGGAAACCACATAATTTTATGAGCAACAAGAGAGAGAAGCCAAGTGAAAGTTCTTAAGATTATCGTAGTTGATAAGCTTCTGCTTATTAAAACTTGAGAAACGTGTTGGTTGTGTCCCAGCCTTGAAATCCAGCTCTTAATAAGAAGCAAAGTTATAATCAGTTTGGATTTGGCATTACCCTTAACCAAATTTAATAATATTTAGAAAATCAGCCCAGAGTTTAATCAAGTTGAAACCGTTTTTATGTTTATTAAATTTGTGAAATATTTATTTAATAATTTAATTATATTAAAAAGCACAATTTAAAAAAGCGAAAATGCTTACATTTCTTATGTACTTGATGCCTCAAATTACGCTTATAATTTTTAGATATATTTCTATGGTTACTTTACTTTAATTTCGGCATTTGGGTCCCCTAATGCATCAGATTTTATCAGAAGTAGGCATATTACATGTAATTCCAAGGCACATTAAACTAACCTGCCAACAAAGTGTTTAATTTGGGGAATTACCCTTTTAAGAATATATCTAAAATAAATCCATGCCACAAAATCAGAAACTAAATGCCTATTTGAACATATCTCGGCAATAAATCCTACTTTTTTTTTTTGTTTGTGTAACAAGAATTATTTATTATGTTTTACCGAACAAAATTCAATATTTGTTAGGGATTTAATGAAAGAAACAATTGCTATTCTCCGCCCATAGATAGAAATTTTCAATGTTACCGAACACTTTTAAAATGCATATATGAATTTTGTACATGTATTTCAAATTTGCTGCTATCCAAATATTGCTTCGATCAAACCATTTAATATTTGGACTTCAAAGTGCAAGGCAAATAAAATTGAAAAATGGAAATAAAGTTTTAGTCTGGCTAAAAAAGTTTTGTCCAAATTGAGCACCAAGTAAATAAACACACACATTCAATTCGCAGGCAAATAAGCAAGCACTCACATCCAGGTGGAAATACATTTTTTGGGTGCTTTTCTTGGAAAATGTATTGAAGCTTACCTGGAATGCCTAGCCACAACGTGCCCAAATGGCCCTGAGACTGAGTGCTGCACTGCAAATTGTGTTGCTGTTGCCACTTAATGTCGAGACGATTAAGTACACGCCGCATGCCACGTCGCATCTCACGCTGCAGCAGTCATTTACGTAAGAGCCAGCAACATCATTTCAAAAATAACTGCGTTGCGCATAACGTGGCTCGCAAAATACATTTGCACGGCTTTAGCAGACATCAGACATACTTGTAGCCAAATGTAGGCGGCTGGCATCAGACAAAGCGCATAAAAGGATAATAGACGCACCCAGGCATAAATCAGCCGCTTTATGTACAGGCCATACTGGTTGCTGGAGAGAGGGGAAGGAAGCGGTGGGATGGCTGTTCAGTGTCGAGCACCTGCTCATTGAGCAATCAAATTGCGCGAATTCGCACAATTATCCTAACCAATGTGCGCCCTGATCCTTTGCATATGTCGCATTGCAATGTCCTCATTAAAAATGTAGCAAGAAAATATGTAAATTGACGAATTACTCGCGACAAACGCCATGCGCTTGCAAATTTTCATAGCATTTCTTTCACAATTTTCTCTGGTTTTGCTTTGCTTTCGCTGAGAATCCACACAGAAGAAGGCCTTGAAATTGTCAACTAAAAATAAATCGCAAGAGTTTTTGGCGCCCGCTCCCGCTCGCAAATGTTTATTATTATTTGTTATTTCTTTTTTCTTTGAAAAGCGAGCGCTGAAATATAATAATTATTTGCTGTTTTCATTTTGTGGTTCAGCATGCCTCAAACTCGTGTGAGCAGCATATCTCAGTGTCTATATATTTCATTCAATTTATATGCTGTGTCGCATGCTCTTAACATGCTATAAATTCTATAGTTGCCCATATACCAACCATATAACACATGCATCCATAAATTACCCGACTACATTATGTACAGCACAGCAGCCGACAACAATGCGTCCAAAATCGCTGATAAGTTAACCTACATGAGGCGAACACACAATGGAACTAACTAGGCGGCGACCATGTCACCCAGCTAGTTAGTTGTGTCCACATCATTTGCAGCCATCCAACGTGCCGCATAAATTAATATACTTAAGCATTTAATTAAATAAATTCTTGAAATATGCCCAAGAAAATCCAAAGCAAACTGAACAATGTGCCACAGACAGTGGCGCCTCTTCAAAGTGAAACTAATTTAAAAGTTTACTTAACTCTCTAAGTACTTTAAAGCCCTCTAGGTATAATTATTTGCCAAGGACAAAGCGTATTCCCTGTTAAAAGAGAAATAAATGAAATGACTATATAAATATATAGCTAGCGGGTATTATCCGGCAATGCACGTGTTAAGTTTAATGCTCAACATTTCAAATATAACTTTTTCAACCAGGTCTCGTCCGTTGAATGTGTAAACCTACGTCTATGCGAAAATATGTTTAAAGACCATCAAATTAAGAACCTAAAGTGCGAATGTTAGTCTTGGCATGCAAATCTTAAAGCCGAAAAATAAATTTTATTTCATTAAACCTTTAACCGGCATTTTCCATCCAAGAGCGCCGGACACGCAAAGCATATCAAATAATTTTCCACAAAGAACCCTGAAACAAAAAGCTTTCATTCAACCGTTTTCCGCCTAATTATCACTGTTGCGGGTTGAATTTTCAAAATCGCTGAAACATTTCTAATCCATTTTCCACTTAGAGCGCTTGGATTCTGCAGAATATGTGAAACACGTATCAAATGAATTTTCATGGAT